CCCATACGCTTGCCAGGCAAGTGCTTATTCAACTGAGCTATCTCCCCAGCCCCACCCTGGGGTCTTTTTAAACTACATCTACTCTCAGAAAATCCAAAAGATTTCATTTGTTGAGAACCTTATGTATTTCGAGAGATACCACTGTTGAGAATATTTTGCATCCGAACCTAGTGGAGCTGGAGAGAAAATTTCCACAAAATAAGCCAACAAAAAACCCAAGACTAAGACACATTACTAAAAAGTAATGAGTCCAAACATGCTCCTTGACTGAATTTAAATTTATTTTATGAGGATGTAGGAATTTTGTGAACATGAAGAAAAGGATAATCATTTTATTAAATATTCTAAATAAGTACTCTGTGTAGAGTGAGCCAACTAAAAAAATACAGGTATTTATTTATATTTTATATATTTGCTACAGGGTCTTACTACACAGCTCAGACTCATAGTAATCCTCCTGTTTTCAGCCTCCCCAGTGCTGGGGTTACATGTGTGCACTACCACGCTGGGACTTGGTGGCCAGCTCAGCGTGCCCAGGGGTGAGGCTGGCGCGGCCTGTGGTGCTGGGGATCGAGCCATAGTCCCTGTGCTCAGTCCCTACACTTGCATAAGCAGGCACTTAGTCTGCTGGGCTATCCTGCTGGCCCTACAGGCATTTATTTTTAGTTGCACTGAAGAGAAAGAATAGAAATGCTAAACTTTTAAATATTCAGGCCTGCTTTATTCCTATTATTAGCAATCAGAGTGTAGCAGACTTAACATTTCAAAAATGTAATATGACACTGGGTTTTTACTATTTGTAATTCAGTGCCTGAATTGTATTATTAAGAAATACATTATAACATTTACATCCTTATTTCTTCTGAATCTTACATAACATAGTTTAGAATTTGGTGATAACATGCAGAGAAACATTACCATTTAGCATTATAAAATATTTAATTCAGGGGGCTGGGGAGATAGCTCAGTAGAATAAGTGCTTGCCTGGCAAGCTCAAGGGCCTGAGTTCAATCCCCGGTTTCACCAAACAAACAAACAAACAAACAAAAAAAGTCAAAGACAACACAGACTATGGCATGGAAAGTTCAATCACTAAATAGGTTCATTGTTACTTTTTATATTAATAACTAATAAACATGCATTAAATACACCTACTAAGAAATATAAATCAATTTAGTTTGGTTTATTTGATCTGAAACATTTTTCTAAAATTTAAACTTTTGAATTTGAAACATTTTTATTGTGGATAATAGCCCAGAAACAAAGCCTTTCTTAAAACTGGCTTTATTGGGAAATACGTTAAAGTATGCAATAATGATACCTAGGAGTATCTGCCTATGCTTACTTTTAAGGAAGCAGAAAGCAATGAACGCAAGTTATTGGAGATATCATTTATAATAACACTATTGACCTAAAATAATTTATTAAAATTTTTCCTGTCTCCTCCTTTTTCCACAGTGACATTTGTTAGCAGATTCCCTCTTTAATAATACACAATGTTGGATCATGACACAGAGAAAACAAACAGGTCATTGTTTGAAATAATGTGCACTGTGTTTGCAGAACTGTGAATTTTTGTTTTGAATTGTTTTTATTACACAATTTTGGTTGTAGAGTACAATAAATAATGTATTTTAACTTACTATGATACAGAAGTACTTATTTTGGGGTATAAGATTAACATTTTGCAATAATTTTACTTTTATGAAACTTTTGTGTCTTCGTATGCTGTGTTTGGTAGAGTAGATTTCTTTCACTTACAGAAAAAGTTTTTTGTTAGGTTTTCGATTTATGTATTTAGAACAAGTGGATTGTGCTGTCATTACATACATGTATACAGGAATCCGGTGTTTAGAGAATTGTGCTGTGCCTCCCCTTTTGAGGATGGGATTGTTGTAGGGCTGCTACTTGCTTATACAGAAAGGCAGTATCTGGAGATGAGGTTGAGGTAGAGATGTGCAAATTTATGCTGCCTCATGAGTATTCTAGTTATATAAGGCCAAAGGTGGAATGTGTACTGAAATTATAGGATGGGGTGGTCTGTACTATGCATCACACTGGAAGGTACAAATGGCAGGATAAATCATAGGCTAGAAATGAGGTAGGCTGCCCAGGTAGGTAGTAAGAGAACAGAAAGGTAAAGCTGTAGTACTGTGTGCTCTTTTCCCACTAAGCAAGTTGCAATTTACTATTTTCCAGGCACTGTGTCATCTCTTATCTTGAGTAGATGGCCCTTTGAGGGATTCAAATAAAAGTCCTGTTAGTCAACATTAATTCCTTTTCCTCACTTTGATATCTAATCTACTAACACATGAGAGGTCTCAAGTCCTGTTCGTTTCAGCTGTGATCTTCTCACTTGGGTTTCTGTAATGCTCTGCCTTATTTTGTTTGCTCTTGTAAAATTCATCTCCAAAGGAGCCACAGCCATTCTCTCTTTTTTTTTTCCATAATTTTATTGCACAGCCATTCTCATGAAGAGAAGTTATACCCTGTCTCTCTCTGTTAGCACTTTCGACTGAGTTTTGATGGTATTTATAAATAAAATCTAATTTCATTACCGAGTCCTCAAAGATCCTGTGTGACTTGCATCCTGACTAACAATTCTGACCTCCTCTGCATCATCCTCTGCCTCTGCGTCTTTCCCTGGTCTTTTTCGTTCTTAGACACTTAAGTTCAGTCTGACGCTTTGCCTTGCTACCATGTTTTCATTACTTAGGTCTGGGTTGAAATGTAGCTTCTTTAATGAGGCCTACTGTGAGCATGCTTTCCACAGTATTGTCTGTAAGTCATGTCTCATTTATTCACATATTTTATTTCCCTCATTGTGCTTGGCCATATGAGTAGAATCCATTCATTCATTGGATACTTATTGTGCATCTAAAGTATACCAGGCATTGTTCTAGGCACCTTGGTTTCATCCATGAACAGTAGAGAGAAGATCCCTGTTGTCTTGGAACTCACTTAGTGGAGTAAAGAAAGAAATGCTACATAATAAATATATGTCTACCTTGTACAGATATGAGTCAGTATGTTACAAGGAAGTAGATGCAATAGAGGAAAATGGAACATAGTAATAAGGGACTGGGTAACTTGGACAGGGTTAGGGGCATCTTATATATTAAATGGGATGGTATTGGTAGGCTTCACTGACCTGATAATAATGTAGTATTCTTTTGTTTCTTTTACTTTTAGCTTCAGCACCAGTCAGCAAAGTGAATAAGTACTGTGCTTCTTCCAACTTTCATTCCACTTGGGGAAAAAAGAATATCATCATGTCAAACATCACGATTGACCCTGATGTCAAGCCTGGTGAATATGTCATCAAAAGCCTTTTTGCAGAATTTGCTGTTCAAGCTGAAAAGAAAATTGAAGTTGTAATGGCTGAACCCTTGGTAAGTAGAACTGACCTATAAATCTCAAATATTTTCTTGACTTTTGCATTAACCATTATAATACAAATTTTCCAAAAGAAATAATGTAACTAAAAAAAATATTAAGGGATAGGTTAGTAACAACCCATGAAGCTGCAATTACTTCAGAATCCACTTTAAAAAATTAATGCAATTCATGATGGAACAAAGATGAATTTGACTAATGAGTTGTGAAGGCCAGATAAAACATAGTGGGAAATAAAAAGAAAATCTAGACTGTTCTACAAGGTATGACTAAAACTATAGCCAAACTTACAGTCAACCAGTGGGCTTTTTTTAATACTTATAGCATATGAGGCATAATTAGAGAATGTGAAGAACTCTGAGATTAGGATCTACATTGAGGAAGAAAGAAAAAGACTGAAAACAAAGGTGAGGTCAGGTTTTGAAGAGTTGTAAGTGCTACAATGATAGGTAACACAGCTGATGGGCAATAAAAGGAGAAGAGACTGAAGGCAGAGGTTGTTGAGCTGCTGTATACTTCAAGCTGGAATGAAAGTGATTTTGAACTAGAGGGTTAGAAGTCAATGTTGTTGCAAAAGAAAGTAAGAGAATAGAAAGAATTTCACAGGTTAATTACAGAAGTGGCATTTTGAGTGAAAATTAAAGGTTAAAGATGCTTTGGCATGTTGGGAAAGATAGGCTGTATTTATTTGGGCAAAGTACACAGGGATGTTCTTGGACTTGAACAAGTGAACATGGAAATTTTTTCATTTGTGTGGCTTAAGCTTGACTTTACTGGTAATATAACCATGGAAATTATTTGGTAATTGGAAATACTGTTTGAGAACTCACATGAGGTGGTGGTGAATAGGAATGTAGATTTTGACATCACCTATATTGAAGCCAAAAGAGCTGGTGGTGATATCAAGGGAAGTAGAGAACTGAATAGAAATAGCATTGTCAGATGATACAGGGTGGCAGAATACTTCGAGGAATTGTTACTGGTTTTGGAAGGAAAGCAGTCCAGTCAGTAGGAGAATAGTCTCTGCTTTGTTCAAGGAAACGTCCTTGAGTTTGAAGGGAATGCATGTGTGATGTACCAAGATAACCGTATTGGTTAAAAGGGGTTTGATGGTAATGAAGATGAACACAGGAGATAAGAGCTGAAACTCATTTGTTACAGTATGTGTCCACTGCCGATTTGGAACTGAGAGGACTTGGTGCCTCTAAGGTCAAAGCTAGTAAGTGGCAGAGTGAGGAGTTTGGTACAGTAATATTGTATTCTGAACCTAAGTGACTACACTATCTACTCACCTTTCTCAGAAGGAAGAAGCAGGGGAGCGGGGAGGCAATGACTTAGGAAAAGAAGGAAGTTGAACATGTTACTGTTGGATGCTCTGAATTTTTTCATTGAAGCAAGGACTTAACATTTCCAATTGCAAAGGTGAGGTGCTTCTTTGTTAAGCAGAATAAACAACTCTGAGGAAAGCATCTATGAAATAATGTGTTCTGGGGTATAATACATAACAGTAGGTAAAAATTTGTTGGCCAAGTATCTGTTTCAAAACTGCCCACATCACTGTATTCAATTTAAACTATTTCGTGGTTGTTTTCTGCATGTCAAATTAATGATTATTTTTATACCAGTCTATATATTTTTAGAACGTGGTACAGGATAATGTTCTGTTTTAGTAAAAAGGATTAAAAAAGCTTAGAGATTGGTGTTATGACTTTAATTATAATGTCCTTTATCTGTGAAATGTTAATTTTTTTATCAATTGTCTCCGAATTATATGATAAATTACTATACTAGCCTACTTAAGCAGCAATACAGTAAGAAAAAAATACATTAAAATTAATTATGGAAAGTTTTTTTTAATGTGTTTGGTACAGGTTCTACTATGCAGCTTGGACTGGTAGTGATCCTCCTGTTTTCAGCCTTCTCAACAATGGAATTACAGGCATGCACCACCATGCCTGGACTCGATTGCTGGCTCTGGTGCCTGGGATTGAACCCCAGTCCCTGGCCTTGCCTAAACAGGCACTTAGTCCACTGAGCTATTGCCAGCCCTTGGAAAATTTCAAAGATACATAAAAGTAGACATACCCAGGATCTATCACCAGCTCCAGCAATTTCAACTTCCATGGCACATTTTAAAAACACTTCCTATTTTATGAACTATCTGATAGCAGTCCCATGTGATAGAGCCCTGCCATTTCTCAAGTATAATACATTGTTAGAGAAATTTTAATTTGAGATATAAAGGTCTTTAAGAGTGAAAGTATTAAAAGGAAATGTGGATTAGATTACTAATTTGACCAAGTCTATAAAATGGCAAATTAAAAAAAAAAATCTTTTTCTTTCCTTTCCTTCGTGTGCCCTTGTCATTGTCTAGTTAAGGCTCAGGATCTGTCACCTGAGGGCATTGCAGGAGCTTCTGGCCAGGTCCAAGGAGTCCCATCCCCTCCCATTTTGTTTACTTCATCTATAATACAAATATCATCATTTTTCTGCTTTGAATATCTTGTTCTCCTGTCTTTGCTATGGAGTCATTTCAAGTTCTATTAGGTCATTCCAGATACTTCATTGTCTTTCTGTAGTTTGTGTAATGTTTTATGCTTCTCTATATTCTTTTGTCTCAGTGTGTTTTTATTTTTCTCTCTTTTTAAAAAAATGAATTTTAATACAGGGTCTACAGGGTGTACAGGGTCTCACTACGTAGATCGGACTCATAGTGATTCTCCTGTTTTCAGCCTCCCAAGCGCTGGGATTACAAGAGTGCGTCACCACGCCCAGTCTCAAGTTCCCTCTCAGCACACCCTGGGGGCAGGGCTGGCTCTGCATTCTGGGGTTTGAACCCCGGCTGCTGCACTCTGCCAAAGCAGGCACTTTAGTCCGCTGAGCTATCTGGCCGGCCCTTATTTTTCTCTCAGTCTGCAATATTTTCAGAAGCTCTGCTCATCCTTCCAGACTTTGCATTTGTTCCCTCTGACAAGTGGTCCTGCCCCAAGCTAAATAAATCTATTCCCATATTAATGTGTATATATCATATATCTGTAATTACCAGATAGTAACTTTTGTATATCTGCATAAATACAGATTATGCGTATATCACATTATGGTTAATTTCATACCTGCCCCTGTCCTCCCGTGTGAGTTTCTTAATGCCAGGAACTAGGTGGCTCTTCCATCTGCCTGCAGCACTGCCCAGGGTGATGCACGCTTGGGAAAGGTGCTCAGTAAACTGTTTTTAAGTTGAATTTAGCCTCGGGTAGCATTGCTGTGTCATACAGTGTTTGTACTTCTAACAAAGCACAATGTTATTAATCTAACCACGGTTTCTAATAGTTCTTTCAGAACACTGTGATGCTGATGATACTGCATTGTTCATTTAATAAGTAATTTCAGAGGTACCTACCTCCTCTGTAATCTTGAGATTTTACAGTTATGGTTCATAGTGGTGAGGACTGAGCCAGAACGTTGATATTTCTGTCCCAGCCTCACACTGGGGAGAAGAGGCATTTCTGCTTATTCCTCCTTTCACACCACATCAGGAAACTTACTTAAGTCCTCATCATGTTGTACAGATTTTCCTCTGTTATGCCCCTGTGTACCAGAGTCATCCCCCTTTATCTAGGTCAGAGCTCTTCTGGGTTTATTTTCATTTATGTCCAGGTCTGAGTAGATTGGAAATCCATAACTTCAAGATAATGAAGATACATTTAATCTAATATGTGACAGTGTTTATATTATACCTTCAACTGCTTTTATTATGATTTCATTTATTTCCACCTTTCAGGTAATAAACTGAAATCCCAAATGACTTTCTGACATTTTGAATGAAAGTCTTACAGAGTCATTTTATAGAAGAAAACATTTAGCCTGGTGTGGTGGTGTTATACTTACAATCTTAGCACTCTGTGAAGCTGAGGCACGAGGACTACAATTTAGACCTTGCCTCAAAATAAAAAAGAACTTAAATGCAAAGACTGTAGAATCAGTCCCCAGGGGCCAGCCAGATAGCTCAGTGGACTAACGCACCTGCTTAGGCAGAGTGCAATGGCTGTGCTGGCCCTGCCCCCAGGGCACACTGAGATGGCGATTGAGACTGGACATGGGGGCACACACCTGTAATCCCAATGCTTGGGACGCTGAAAACAGAGGATCACTAGGAGTCTGATCTACGTAGTGAGACCCTGTAGACCCTGTACTAAATACATTTTTTTAAGAAAAAGAATCAATCCCCAGAACTGGGGGAGTGAGAGCAGGAGGGAGAAAGGGGAAGGGGGGGGGAGAGAGAGACAGACAGACACAGAGACAGAGACAGAGACAGAGACAGAGACAGACTTGTTAGGTACAAGGATGCTGGCATAGTTCATAGTCATCTAGGACGAAGGGTACAACAGAAGTTGAAGCACAGACTCCTGTGGAAAAGACTATTGCTGAACTGAAAGAATTGGTTTTCTTATTCCCATATTAGAAACCATTATAAAAGGAGGCTAAGTAGGCCAGAAGAGTTGAAGATTAATCGAGCTTGATTTTTAGCCACAATTTCATTCCGTTTTCATTTTAGAAGACAGATTCTGAGAGAGCAATCATTGATTAAAATTGCAGCTTACAAACTGTGCAGCCCGATACTTGAGGTTTCTTTCTTTCAAGAAGTTGGCGCGATGTGGGTAATGGCACAAGCATATCCCCACTTACCTGTTAATCTTACGGATTGCCAGGGACTAGCAAAAAAGGTAGAAGAGGCTTCAACCCATCACCGGTGATTTAAGTCATTTGTATTTGGTTTAGGCCCATGATTTATTTTAACAGTGTTACATATGTAAGTATTTTTAAAAGGGATTCTTCTCTCTTTATGATTGATCAGTTTGCTCCAAACTGCATTTTTTTTGTTAGTTTTGTCTATTTTTAATATGTCATATTTGAAGAATGGGACACTATACAGCTTACTGAGAAGGATTCTGCAGTGTCCAGTTTTTAGGCATGGCTGTTAACTTAATGGGGAGACAGATGCAGGGGATTACTGGGGTTTTTGATATATGGTATGTGAATTTCACCTCCCTGTTTCAACCTTGTCTTCAACTGTTGCCTCCCCTAATCAACCTCTGGCTGTTTTTCCCTTTCCTTTGTGGGCAAGGTGCAGGGACAGACAAGTCTGATTGCTAAGCAGGTGGTTGAAGGGACTGGAAGAGAGAGGCTCAGTCTTACATAATCTTTAAAAACACCTTTTAGGCAGGCCTACTTATCTTCATTTTAGCTGTCTTTTCCGAGTAACCAAGTTCTCCCATCTTCGAAGTCTTTCTAGAGTCCCAGATCATCGACTGGGTTATCTTTTCTTCACTGTGTGTGGCAAGATCACCATTTCCTTGTGGTCATTTTCAAATGTCAGTTTCTGCAGTCATCTCTGTGGTCATCTAAAATCTTAATCCCTACTGCACCTGTCTAATGTAGCATCATTTCCTTTGCGTGAGTTCTCATTACTGTCAGCTCCGCTGGGATGGCGATTGTTTTCAGTTCCATTCAGGGCTGTGTTTCCAGAGCCTAGAACAACGTCCGGAACACTGCACTTAGTGATTTGGATGAATGAATGATGATTGGATGTATGGATATCTGACTTTTCTCTTGCCTACTTAAGATTCATTAGTGCTTAGTAGAGGTTATGTTCTTCTGTCACTTTGTACCCTCTCTCCCATTTTCTCTTGTATTTCTAGATTGAGCTTTATAAATTTATTTTGTTGTTTGTCATAGTGAGGATTTAGGAGAGAATGTTGACTGTGTGTATATTTATTCTGTCATCTTTACTGCAAATTATTGATATATTTCAGTGTCATTGTTACCATACTGTGAAATTTTTTCCAAGAGATTCTTCTGTCTTTTCCAGAAACTGCATGTTGTTACTAGTCTATATACACATACCAGTTGTAGAATCAAATGAGCATATAAGGGATTATGAGCCTTAGACTTTTGATTACTAATTTTTATATTATGAGTATAGTAACCACAATGAAAAGCAGAAGTAGTTCTAAAGGTCATATAATAAAAAATGTCTCTTTAATGATGGGTCAAGGTAATTGCTGTCAGCAGTTTTTGGTATATCATTTTTTCGTATCTCCTGTTTATCTCTGTGGTACTTACATTCATTTTTAAACTCAAATGAAAGAGTTTTTTTTGTACCTAGATATTTTAATAATGTAAGTTGGAGATTATTCTATATCAGCCATATAAATTTATCTC